GGGCATCCACCTACCCACCCTTTACCTTATTTAATAGGTATCCGCCCACCTACCCTTTCTACTATCATTACTTCTCCTTCCCCTTGGGATGGGTTAGGGGGTACCTTCTTGCTGGAATAGGTTAGGGGGCACCTTTTTACTTTAACTAGGTTGGCGGGTATCTTCTAACTTTAACTAGGTTGGTAGGTGTCTTTCTACGTTAACTAGGTTAGTGGGTATCTTTAGAATATTTCAATTTCTATAGGTTTAGGGGTTAGACCTTAGGGGTCTAACTCTATCCATATATAACTACTTACCCACCCTTTCTACCATCACTACTTCTCCTTCCCCTTAGGACGGGTTTATGGGCCTCTATTTATCCTAGATGGCGCATCCACCCAGCCACCCTTTACCCTATTCTTAGGGTACCACCTACCCACCCTCTATACTATTCTTGGGGCGTCCTAACTCCTTATTAACCTATTACCTATTTCTTTATATGCACTTAGGGTACTTACTTAGATTATAGGTACTTTAAATGGGTTTTACGCTTCTCTATAGGTTATAGGCGTCTCTACTACTTATAGCCATTCTATCTATTAGCCTATTTCTATTTGCATGCCCCAAATACTTAGAACCCTAACCCTAACTTACATCCTGGCCTAAACCCAAGTCCAACACCTAACCTCACCTTAACTTATGTCCTGGCCTAGACCCAACTCTAGTATACTCTACTTACTCCTACTATACGCATTATATAGTTTTTTATAGATAGTATATAATTAATTACGCCCTTTACTATAGCCGCTATTTATCTAACAACTATACAACCCAATAAAATTCCCCTACTAACTAGTTGCTCTCCATAGAATTAAATAGCTATTTCGCCCCTAAATACTATATTAATCCTTCTATATATAATTTATCCACCCCTTTATCTACTAACCACTATGCCTAACGTTCCCATACCCCGTCCCCACTCCTATATATAATCCCCATTAATCCCCCTAATATAACCCCCTAGTACTGGTAATTACTATCTACCAACTACTAATACTGCCCCTAACCATTCTCCTCCTATTAGTTACACATCTCCTGCGGTACCCCACACTAAAAATAACCCAAATATGGCTTAAACTAGATCTCCTATTTAATCTACCTAATTATGGCCCTAGCCTACTTACTTTCTACCTACTAATACTACCAGACGTTATATATACTCTACCCGTCACCCACTACCTTATATATCCTATACTAATTCGCCTACCACGCCAACTACCTATATAACCACTTTATATTTATATATGCTTCTTGCTGCACCTACATTAAATACTATTATAGGGCCCATTAAACCTACTACTACTACTAGAATACTTACTATACGCCCTCCCTCTCTATCTCTCTTTCTACTACTACTACTTCTACCTCTTCTACTACTACTTCTCTACTATAGCCCTCTTTGCCTATCTCCTCATCTATCCCCTCTCGTATCCCTTTATCTGTCCCCTCTTATATCTCTTTATCCATCCCCTCTTATAGCTCTTTATCTATCCCCTCTCTACTATAAATATTATACTTCTCTTCTCCCTCTTTATACTCTACCCACTCTACCTTACTCCTATCTAAATATCTACCTAATACTATACGTCTATACTACTACCCCTTACCTTTACCTACTAATGCCTATACTAATGCATGCTCCTTCTCTTCCTATTAATCCTTGGCCACTTACTATGCCCCCTCTTATATAATTATCACCACTTTACTCTACGCCCTATCTTATCCTACCCGGCCGCTCTCCTGCGTATAATCTAACACGGAAAACGGCCAATTAATATGGATAATGCACTAGATATTAGGGATATTAACGCCTATACCTAATATACTTATTACTACAATCACCCGCCCTCTACCTAATATAAAGTCCTCTAACATGCTTACCTTATTAATGGCGTTATAGTAATATGTATAGTACCCTAACTACTACACTAGCTCTTAGACCTTATACACTAAATTACTATATACTACCACCTTACCCTTCTTATACCTTTGCAGCTTCTACTAAATTATACCTAATACTAGCTCCTCTACCTCCTATTTCCTTACCGCCTAGCCCATCTTAATTACTTAATACACTATATTTGTGTGTGCCGTCTCTATCTAGAACACCTTAACCTGGTTAGCGTTAAAATACATCCACTAGAATAGCTTGTCCTCTTTGCTAGGTAGTAACATTGCCATTAATAACACCATCTATGTCTTAGTGGCCACTAGCTTACCTAGCTACTATATCTACTTATAGAACGTGTACCGCTAGTTTAACACAATATAGTACTTATTAATTATGATCTAGTCTAGCTACCACATTACGTATAAATAGTTTATAAATGTTGTAAATTCCTATATAACTACTAACTTGGGTGTTACTAATACTATGGCGGCTACGTCTAGTAGGTGGTGGCTCTCCTATACTATATATAATATCCCTAGCCTCTTATACCACTGCTTTATATTACCTTACAATGTAATTAATGGTATAATAATAATGGTTATGCCGCCCTACTCTACCCATGCTGGTAATATGAATAATATGCTCTTACCCACCCCTATTAGTATTACGGCCACTATGGGGCTCTCCCCACCTATAATTACCTTAATGGCTTCTTTCTACACGCTATGGAATGTTACTATCTTGCCTACTATACGTTGTAACTGCTTGGTGGTATCTATCGTCCTTAACCATCTCTATTAATTGATCCTAGCCTTATCTACCTTGCTTTTAAATGGCGCCTACTTCTACTTTCTACATCCATCCTCTATTATATTAGGTGTAAACCCTAAAAACTAATACTAGTTAGTGCTTAACGCCTAGAACTACTACCATCTATCTACTACTACTCTGGCCTACTCCATAATGCCTTATATATATACTATACCTACCACGTACACTATGTGCCTAGCCTATAAATCTACTATTAGCCCTACTATATTCTCCTTATTCCATGCCTTACTTTTGTCTCCCTCCTCCTACTAGAATGCCGTGGACCTGTGTAAAAACCATTGACTAATACTAATAGTAATCTCGCGATATACTAGTATTATTAATGGCTAGCTAAGCCTAATACTAGTCTTATACTTCAACGCCTCCCGTATTTAATCCATTATCCACTTATGCCTATTAGGGTCGGCTGGCCACATGTATAATGACATGGCCTCCTTCTCCTATACTAACGCCTCCATCTACTACTGGAATGGTAATACTAGCCATAAATAATACACTACTAGCTCGCCCACCTCACATGGTAAATACTAGTGGATAATCTTAACGTTACTACTAACTTGGTACCCCTTATAGTATCTTATTATAAACACTACCTTGCCGTCCTTAATAAATACGTTATAGTGGCCCCCTTTAACTATGTTACTATACTAGATACTTATAATCTCTAGGCCTCTAGCTGGCTATCCGCCAGTTATGTGTATTAACATGATTAACTTTTCTTAGAATGTAACTACCCTATCTATGTACTATGTTACCTCTTACTAGTCTACGCCTAAACGGGTGCCTGGCTTTATAAATTAGCCCTTAATTTGGTCGTCCTATCCCACCCATTTAACTAACCATTACTCTCTATCTATGGGTAACTACGTGCGCTGGTCTTATAAAAAATTCCATCTAGGTTACTTGTTGGTTGGGCTATTACGTAAACGCTCCCATAGGATGCTAGGAATAGGTTTAGTGGCTAGGCTATTACTAAATAATAAATCCTCTATTAATAACTGCTATATCTCCTACTGTAGCCCGTGCACCATACTATAGAACTAGGCCATGGTAAACTATACCTCCTTATATAATAACTTATCCTACCCTACCCACTCTATATGGCCGTATAACGTTATATTATAATGGATCTTCAGCCCGTACATCCGCAAATCTAACATCTATTATATGGGGCTGTGGCTACCATATACTATGAACTTATCCATTATCTACGCCACGAACTATAAACACCCTTTAGGCCAGGCTGGTGGCTGCGTACTATTACTATTACTCTTATATATACTATTGCTGTTGTCCTTAAATGGCTTAGATAACGCCAACGCCTACTATATAATTATGAACTGGGCGACCTTAATGATGGCTAATAATATGGGTGGGTACTAGTCCGCGCCCTTCTACCTATCCTTCCTAACCCCTAACACGGCTAATATATATACTAATGGGCTGTCGTACTCCTTGCGGGTGATGGACTAGTTTATTAATATAATGTAAAACGCTAAATACACTTTCTTAATACTTGATAACGTTTCCGGCTTGCCTATATTGCTAACCCCTACTACTGGCGCTTCTTCCCTCTCTCCCCCTACACTGTCTGCGTCCTCCGTCATCTTATTATCTAAATTTGCCCCTGGTTGCTCCTTATCCTCTTCCTCCCCATCTTCTACTCTCCTAGCCTCCTTTACTAATGCCTCCTACGCCTTACGCTGCCGCTTAGTGAACTAGTACTTGGGGCTCTTCCACGCGTGCTCCTGCTGTGTCTGCCAAAAAAACATTAGCATCTGCTGCCATGGCCGGGCATGCTCGCCAATCAACTTCTCGTCCATGTATGGCTGCAATGGCTGGTACTGGGTCTGGTGCTTCTTGGTGCGGATCACTTCTAATCGCATGAATATGTCTATGTGGTGGATAACGGACGACTAACTAAACCGCGCCAATCTATCCATGGCTTCCTATATGGCGGCAGCTACGGGCTCCTCTTCGGCCTTGGGCTCTTCCACGCTTACCAACAACTTGGGTCGCTCCATGCCTACTAAGTACGGCATCCATCCTGTTCGCTTAAGCTATGGGTTCACCTCATTGGGCGCGCCGTCCTGGATCGTTATCTTGGCCCACTTCTACACGTTGCCCCACGCCTCATCCATATTCCTGATGACCTACGCCCACCCTGGCTCGCCATCCATGGGTTCGGGGGTGGATTCGGGTTGGTGGACCTCGAAGTACTGGGAGCCGGTGCCTTGGGCTAATAACTGTTGGTAATGCACGCGCCTCCAAGCTTGATTGCTGCGTAACTGTATGCTTGGCTTATTGGATCAACGTGGATGGCCGCCTTTGCTTACTGGTGACCAGCTGTGGGTATTTCGCCAATGGTTCTTCATGCTCTTCAAACTTCGGACGATCTGGTGACACTGGCCTGGGGCCAACTGGCACATCATCCCATCCATGTATACTGGCAGCTGGCTAATGGGTTTAATGCTCTCACTTGGCACTTTCAGCTCGCTGGTATACTGGATTATACTGGCCTAGCTATCGAGCTCCTCTGCGACCAATTGGGCTTGCTTGCTGTCCGCCCGGTGAATATGCTACATATGGCTCCTGGCGTGGCTGGGTAAAACGCTGTACCTGCATTCTTTATAAACCGCCAACGAATATGCGGGCAAATACTTAAAATGCTTGTCTACGACGCTACTCTCGGCCATGCTGGTAACTTTGACGCTGCTACTATGGTGGTTATGGGTTCTTAAAATGGGTTATAGGTTGCTTAATGGGTTATGGGCTCCCGGGCTATGGGCTCTTGGGTTCTGGGTTGCTAAATGTCATGGGATGGTTAATGGGTTGCTCTACTGGCTACTATATGGGCTACGAGTCCTGGACTGGTCTGCTGGCTACAATGTGGATGTACGATTCTATTGGTGATGGAATATGGATTTATGTATCTATGCCTACGCGATTTGTCATTTTGACCCTGGAATTGACACGTGATGTGACGCGTCGCTGCTTGTGCTGGATATTGATCCCTATGGTGGAGTCGCCTCTGATGTCTAATCGCTGCCTCATCAACCTTACCCTAACCCTAACGCGTAACCCTAACACTTGCAAGCACACTACTTCTTGGGCTACAAATTCCTTGGGACGTGCAGTTCCATGCGCTGAATATTTGAATCAAATTTGGGGCGAATTGGTCCGCCGGAACCTATCGCCATGTGGAGTCGGGCTTCTTCGACATGTAGCCCCCCATGCTATAATATACGCGGGATAATCGTCTAGCGCGAATATTAGATCCCTAACAAATTCAGGATCCTATCGACACCTGGGGCTAGGTGTCCATGCTGCCCTGGGTTAGAAAATGCGTCGCGTCGTAATCAATATCCATACTATTAATGATAGTATAAAACGCAAGTTAGCTATTTTAAAAAACCCTATTACCGCGTAAAATACGTGTTAATACGGTTTTTTTAAATGGTGCCTTGGCTGCAGATACTCTACGCCCGATCCGTTTTATTAGTAGGCCCGCGATCAATTAGTGGTAGGCCCGCGATCATGATCCCCACGCAACCCTAACGATGTCCAATTTGGGATGCAAAGCGACGGAGGCGTGGGGAATGGTGAGACGAACACCTTTCCTGTGAGATGATTTCATGGATTTGGGCTGGAACACACGCGGATTTGCCATACGCCCTAAATTCCCGATCCTGCGCGCTCGAACCCTAACGTTAAACCCATTCTGGCACGGATTCGGCCAGATCCGTCACTACTTGTCGGTTAGGCGTATGCCACGAATTAACATTAATTCCTTGCGATGGCCCCTGCGTCGGTATCTCCCAGGGAATAAACCCCTTTATCCCCCTGGTATTTACCGTAAACGGCCTAGTGTATCTGTCCAAGCTCTCTGTTTATCTCACTGCCCTCGATTCAATTAACTATACAACACCTCGCAGATTTGGATCGCCTACCCGTGCAAGACGACAGTTTACTTCCCCTTACCCACAGATCCGCTCCTCGAGCTCGACCATCTCTGCATGTCGATAACCCCCTCGAGGGCAAAGAAGCGAATCAAGCGCGCTACGGCTGTGCAACACGTTATGCTTTCCCACCCGCTTGCCCCGTAGAATTCTCATCGTATTCAAGTGTGTGTGCTGATGCCATGTTCGACTCCGCTCCGATGGATGTAACAAGCGACGCTGGCGCTGGGCAAGTAGTACAGAGGCAGGAGTGCGCGTTAGCGCTTATGTCAGGCCAAGGTTTTAGTCTGGTAGCCTAACGAGTACGCACAAAATCAGCCCAGTCTGCCTTGGCATTGCGTGTACTGTAATTCTTATCTCCTTCCTAACAGGATCTAGATTTGTCCCTTAAGTTGACAGGTCAGAGCCATACATCGACCTTCACGACTTCATCATGTCCATGATGGCTTCGATTCTGGTCTCTTTTCTATACTACTTCGTCTTTATACACGTTAATTACGCGTCACTAGCTGCTGGACAATTGGTCTTCCCTGTCCCAAGCGGTCAATATGCAGTCGCTCATAGCACGCTTAAACTCACCGACGACTCCCGAGTTGACCCCTATGACCCCAATCATGGGAAGCGGAATGTCATGATCTCCCTTTTCTATCCGATACCTCGCTATGCATGTGAGCAAACCTGTCCAATTCCATACATGCCTACCATCACTGCGACCTACGTTGACACCTTCGCCGCTCAATATGGGGTTCCAAACGGTACATTCGGGTCTATCCGGATGCAAGTATGCTGCAAACCATCTCGCCGCGTGGTTAAAGATGTCGGGAAGTTCCCACTTGTATTATTCTCTCCCGGCTTGGGTGGTTCTCGGCTACTGTACAATGTGCTCGCAGAATCGCTAGCGAGTGCGGGATATGCAGTTGCTACGATGGATCATACGTTCGAGACGCTTGTGGTTGAGTATCCTGATGGATCATTCACACCCGGACTCAACGCGTCGTACTGGGACCCGAGCATACCCGGAAGACTGGAGTCACTCTTGGGTGTGCGAGTCGAGGACGGCCGCTTCGTCTTATCGCAGCTCGGGCGCAAAGATGTGGTCCAGAAGTTGGCGCCCGGGTCGGCGTGTGGATTCAATACCAGCCGTGTAGCATTCTACGGTCATTCGTTCGGCGGGGCCACAGCAATCTCCGCACTCATGAACGACACACGCTTCATCGGAGCCATCAATATGGACGGCACACTGTACGGCAATCAAACTGATGTCAAGAAACCCGCCCTGCTATTTGGCCGAGCAGAGCCAAGTCCGCACAATCGTACGAACGATGCTAGCTGGGAAGGTGTTTGGAAGCATTTGAAGGGATGGAGAAGAGAGCTCGGATTAAAAAATTCAGAGCACCTTACGTTCGGTGATGTTCCATTACTCCTCAAGCTGAGTAGGTTACCGATTCCTGTCAAGCCAATCATTGGGAGCCTGGATGGTGAAAGAAGCTTTAAGATTATTACAACGTATATCGAGGCGTTTATGGATTACGTTTTGAAAGGGAGGAAGAGTGAGCTTTTTAGTGGACCGAGCGAGAAGTTTCCTGAGATTGTGGTGGGATAATATAGTTTTCCTCTAACGTAACGTACCTGGCAAGCGAGCGGCGCAGGCAAGCAAGCGGCGCACCCCACCAACTTTTCGCGATGCGTCACCTATTAATTACAATGGATCAACCAACCACTATTTAATCACGCTATAATGAAGCTCATATATCTCTAGCTATCACAGCTATTAATTAGAATTAATTATAAAGTGGTAGGCGCGCTACTACAATATATAGAGTCTCTAAAACCACACTTCGCCGCTGACGCGCTGGAATCACTACGCGACGCAATTGTGAGCCCAATTCAAAGAAGCTTACTAAGCTAGAAGAGGAGGTGATTACTAGGTATATACTTGACCTAGATTTGTGAGGGTTTTCGCCTACCCTAGATGCTATTCAAGATATGGTAAATAGACTACTCGCTGAGCGTGGCGCTAGCCAAGTAGGTGAGAAGTGGCCATGCAACTTTATTAAGTGGATAGAAAGCCTTACTATACGTTTTAACCGACTATATAATCAATAGAGAGCTCTATGTGAGGATCCTAAGGTAATTAGGGCCTAGTTCAACCTTATAGCGCACATAAAAGCTACCTATAGGATTTATAATAAGGATACCTATAACTTTAATAAGACTAGCTTTATAATAGGTAGGATATCAGCTTAGCTTATTATCACAGGCTTAGAGTGACGAGGTAGGCCAAAAGTGTTATAGCCAGGTGATCATGAGTGGATTATAGCAATTTATGGAATTAATGCTACTAGCTAGGTAATCCCGCCCTTTATTATCTTTACTGGCCAGTATCACCTCTCTACCTAGTATAAGGATAATGATATACTACGTGACTGGGCTTTTATAGTTAGCGATAATGGCTGGATAATAAATAAGCTTAGAGTAGAGTGGCTGAGGCACTTTATTAAGTATATAGTAGAGCCTAGGGTAGGTATATACTAGCTACTTATACTTAATAGTTATAAGAGCTATAACTTACTCGAATTTCAAGCACTCTATAAGGAAAATAATATCTATACTCTCTATATACTACTACATTCGTCACACCTCCTATAGCCACTTAATATTAG